CAGAGCCGTGGGCTTGTGTGACTGGTTGTTAGGTGACATAACTGTGAGAGACACTGACAGTCGGTGCATCAGTGCATGGGAGAGATGAAAGTGTGAGTTGAAAGAAACAGGTGTGTGCAGGTGTTTCACTCTGCTGCGAATGCTGACTGTGTTCAGAACAGTTCACAACTCATATATCAGAGGAGTTTCTTTAACCCAATTCTGTACAAAGATGTGCTTGCATTGTTGTGTTAGGTTTCAAATATACTTTATTATTATATACAGTAATAAATAAATATTGTATCTATATTTAAAGCTCAACATATATATATATATTTACATATACATACATATAATATAAGCTGTACGAACACTATCAGAAACCTGACATTTAAGAAATGTTATTGCAAAATGTCGTATGACAAATGTTAAGGTTGTCTGTGTAGTAAATCTCGTTGTATTCTAGAGTTGTGTTGAACAGTTAAAATGTGACACATTATTTTTGGAGTTGATTTCAACTGGCAAAACCGCTGACATGTATAGGAGGCCCTTCATCTTTCTGGGGCTCCGGAAGATAAGTCTTAGACTTGTGTTTGTTTAAGGTCAAAACGTCTTATTTATTCTCACTTATTTAGAAGTTGCTCTTACCTTATCTTATTCTTAGTTCTCCAAACCTGAATCAGAAAATTCTATTTATCCCCATGTGACTTTCAGAGGATGTTTTGAACACACCCACCCACCCACCCACCCACGTTTGAACCCTTACTTTGTCAAGGTCTATTTTACCCTATAATGGAAAAAAAATGGTTGAACACTTTTCCATGTGTTTCAACCAGTTATTGAATTACACATATGTACTTATTTATAAAAATACTTATTTTGTCATATCTGGTAGACCCTTGATTGAGTCTATGTGGCCCCAGAGAAAGAAAATAATTATTTATGACCCAACATGAAAAATCAGACTAATAAATGACACACATCCCAGTTTCTGAGGTCCACAACAGCCTCAGTTTTATTTTGTGACGTCTTAAAAAGCCTCACAAAATAAAATTTGACCTTCATCCAACAGTTCAACACCTCTGGGTGTCATTGAATGTTTTTCCTTCTTATTTGACTTAAACACACAACGTGTTTAAAACCACGTCTTCAGTAGTGGGTTAGTTTGCTATATTTTTATTTGAATTCACTGCATCTACATGTGAGTTGTACAGTCAAGTATCTTAAAGGGGGGCGGGGCGGGGGGGGGGCAGTTGGCTCTGTGGTGTTAAATCTCTTTCTGTGTGTTTGTATGTGTGTGATTGCATGACTGTGTGTGTAAGCACGTGTGTCAGGGGTCCAGCACTGGGCAGATTGAGAAGCAGCATGTAGTTACGTCAGAACAGATTAGTTTGGAAACCCACAGTGAAAACACACACACCAGACACACATAAGTGATTGTGTGTGTGTGTTTGTGTTTGTGTGTGAGAAGGCAGGATGCTCCCATAAACTCACTGCCATCATCCACACCCATTTAATGCTGCTCTGTTAAAAGGCGTCCTGTGAATGTTATGTCAATATTTAATTAAACCCAACATAACATTTATGACTTTTGTTCATGTGCAGGAAAATCACTGTAGTATTTCTACCTCCGTGTCCTAACGTCACTGTCACTTTAATGACCCAAAGGGGAGATCTTTTTTATTGGTACGAAAGCATTTTTCTATTGATAATATTTTATAGTTTGTTTGTTTTGTTTTTTTATTTGCAGCCGGTTAGATTAGCTTTGCAGAATCTGAAGTTAACGTGACCCATCTGTAGCCTTAGCATCGGTATAATTAAAACTTATTCTATTAAAGCTGGACAGGTTCTTTAAATTCTTACTCTGGTTTTTCATTCATAACAACCATATGGATGAATCTCAGTAGCGGAGCAAACAACAGGAATTATTTCAAACCGTTCTCTTTAAAGAAAACACTTCAAATGTGAGGTTCACCAGTTTTATGAATAAATCTGTCTCTGCAGTGGACCGTAAAACCGCTCTATTACAGTTTTCATTGCCTTCGCCTTTGCGTCTCCCACCGCTGTTCTTCCCAGTTGTCAACATCCCTGCTGCAGTACTGACCTAGTCTCAGTCTTAGCATCTGTCTCTGCTGGTCCAGTACAAATATGAATGGTATTAAAGTCCCTGACCCTGATTTTTTTGTGTCCTCTGACCAGATATTTGTCTCTACAGGCAGCAGTGATGCCTGTGTGTGAATGGTGGACTGAGTTATGAACCTTTGTGTAAATTGGTTAATGGCAAAGGTGTTTTTTTTTTTTGGGGGGGGGGGGTTAGTAAAGACTGGAAAATCACTTAATACAAATATGGACAATTGAACTTTTCTAATGCATTTGCCTGTCAGAAATTTAAAACATTCTCACTGTCCTTGACATGTTAAACCTAATGGTAGTTGGTTATTATTCATTTTTATATTCCAACTCATTCCAAAATGAGTAGGGGAAATGTATTGGTGGAATTTTTTATGAGAGAAGTTTGTGATTTTTGAACCGATGTCCATGGGAACCAGAGTTCTTTTGGAACCAGACCCTGGTGGCACAGCGACCTGCTTTTTAGGGGGCTTCACAAATGACTCAGACTTGGATGGGATGTCCATGGATAATATAACTTCCATTCAATAAAGTAATTTGTCAAATTGAACTGATGTAATAATGTGTAACTATTATAGTGGGGCTATTTTACCTCGCATTTGAGGTTTTCTCCATATATTCAATCATGTGCTAAATCACAGTATAAGCTGTTTTTGAAGCTTACTTTTAGCTCTTGTAACTACAATATATTGTTGCTAGATTTTAGTGTTCTACTGTTTATCTTTATTTAACATTTTTTATATTTTTCTTCATCATTTAAAAAAAATGAATAAAACTTTTATTAAATAATTTGTAAAATGTTTTTCAGATTAATAATTATATTTAAATGTTGAATTGTAACCTGTATAATAACAGTTTCATGCTAATACTAAGTCACTCTGTATGAACATACATTCTAGATAACACAGAAAAAGACAATGCATAGAAAAAATAAAAGCTTTTGATTTAGAATTTTAATTAAATTAATAATAATAATAAATGCCTATCATGTGTCATAACTAATGTGTAGTTAAATCAATTGAAAGACAAAAACCTGTTCAAACCAATGCTATAGACAGAACTGTTTTCCTGGATGTTTAAAGGGTGTGTGAACCTCTGCTCCTCCATCTCTGTTTTCTTGTGACCCCAGTGACCTCACACCACACACACAACTTATTCTGTAGGAATTTGTGCTGTATATAAACTTTTTTTTTTACGGAGAATTACAAACCTATTTCCCCCGGAGATATTTTTTTATTATAGCAGGGTAAATGGATCACAGACAGGATGTGTGTGTGTGTGTGCGCGTTTCGTGCCCGTGCTGGCTTCACCAGAACAAGGTGCTGTCGTCAGTACATGTACACAGCCCCAATAGCCAGCCACCTCTCATTACTCCCATTCTGTCTGTTGTGATTTAGGGAGCTACGTGTACGTGTGTGTGTGTGTTGTGTGCCCACAATCCGTGTGGTCTCAAGAGGTTTTAATTAAGTTCCCGTCATGTGACAAAGTGGAAGTGATGACGGTAATAAAATGTGATTGTGATGATTATTGAAAACACAATTACCAATGGTGTGAGAGAAAGTGAAAAAAGGGGAGGAGTGGAGGAGCAGGAGTAGAAGGAGGAAGACAGGAGGCAAAGGGGGAATTGTCTGAATAAGACGTTGTGTATAAGTGTATAAAGGAGAAGTTGACTATGCCCG